ACAATAACATTTTAAAGTTCTGGAGCCTTGTATGTCAAATGCATTGATTATGTTAAGGCTAACACAAAGAGAGACAGAAAATGTGTGTTCAGACAGAAGAAAATAAAACAGCCTCCTAAATACTTGGCTAACTAAAAGTTGTGGTTGGTCCAAATACTTTCTAGAATTGGTCAAACTATAGATTAAGATGACAGATAGTAATAATCATTTTTTTGCAACTTACTAATGCTTTCTTGGGACTTCGACGAATATATCATGCATTGGAGCAAATGGAGGATCAAATGAATAAATTGCAGGAGAAATGGAGGCAACAAATTATCATGTGACAAGTCTGAGGCTCTCAAGTGGGCAAGCCCAACTGGCCAGAATATTTGGATTGTGCCTCTAAAGTTTTAGCACATTTTAAAGCTACAACAGAAAGGATGTCAGATTGGTACTCTTAGTTAAGCCTCTGTATGAAGACAATTAGCAGGATGAAAGGGGAGCAGTGTGGTTACCGGGACCTTCATTTTGTATGAAAGTGCACGAAGAAGAGATTCGTTGGTCGATCTCACCAGATATGGACGGATGAAACTCGTTGTACTGCAGCCGGTTGGATTTTATACGATATTCATGTTGATGCCATACACGAGACTTCCTCCCTCGTTTCGGGTGAAAACGTGCTGAGCTTTCGTCCATCATATGATGTACATCAGGGAGGAAGTCCTATGGACTGCGTCAACATGAATATCGTATAAAATTCAACCGACTGCAGTACAACGAGTTTCATTCGTCCTCATTCGGTGAGATCGACCAACGAATCTCTTCTTCATGCACTTTCATACGAAATGAAGGTCCCCGTGACAATGTTATCTCAGGAGATTCATCGAAACTCAGTTTCTCTTCGTATCTACAGTGTGGTTACTGTTGGATTGACAGAAAGTGCAAGAGATTGGCATTAGGTAGAGGGGTGTGAAGGTCTGAGTAGATGTATCGTGAGGGCAGAAGAAGAGGCAGACCACTCTCACTCGATCGTGCTGCCTTGGATGCATTCAGTTCCACGCACTGGTCACAGGACACTGAGAAAAGTTATTGTGCAGCGAATTACACAATGGCATGAATCACCTTTGGAGCCTCGGCAAAATATGAGATATTGGACACCATAAAACGAGACTCCGACCACTCGCTAGGCTTCATATCGTTGCCATCTCAAGTCGTGCTTACCAGACACATTTTGCTTAGTAGTTATAAAGGGAAGCTGGGTTTCGAAGAATTTCTTACTATATTTCTTATACTGTGCCATTTACTTAGTTCAAAAAATGTCTGCTGAAGGGATTTGAAACTTAGCTTCTTTGGAAACCGTAGATGTGACGGTTGGACTATGCTCACCGTCTTTCGACCACCGACCTTCTTCTGTACTGCCAGTGCATATATCTTCAGAGTCAGAAACCATCATTTACGTAAGCTTCGCAAATACAATAAACCAATAAAAGTGGCCACTTGAAGTCCTACCAACTTCTTACACATAATTTTTTTATCTTTATAGGGAATCCATTAATTTGGTTGGCTTCTTCCCTAATTACCTTAGATGCTTCTGAATGAGCAAATGTTTAGGCATGAAAATGATGTAAATGTAGTCACTGCTATTTCCTTACTTTATTAAATTAGCGTTTTATTTCGCAATGTTGACGCGTGTTTAGGTATGTGTATATGATACTCGTGATCTAGGTAAATTTCCTTCATTCTATTCGCTGCCTTCTCTACTTCCTTAAGTCTGCCAAATAATCAAAGTTTTTGCTTGCTTAACTTCTCACGGCCTTTGTTCCTATTCAGTATTTTGGCCGTTTCATTACTTTTTATCGGCTCCCAAATCTTTTGCTCATCCTTAGAATCGTTGGTTTCTGTAGTATTCTACCTGGTTTCCTGTAGCGACCATATATTCAGCTACATCTGATTTCTGGACCTATACAGTTTCGAGGGCAGGTATACTCAATATAGGCAATTGAATGTGCACAAGACCTCATAACGACTTGATCCCAAGATGGGGCTCGATAATCCTTTATAGGAAAGCATAACTGAGGAAGGTTAGGTTTCCTTTTTATAGAAATTGTATAGGCCAGTAACAAAATGATTACTTGTGAGAAGAAGACAAAGAAAAAGAAGGTGAACTGGTGGAGGATGAAAGGGAGGAGGAAGAGGAAGCAGAAGCCGAAGAACAGGAAAATAAATTGAATGGTGATGAGTATGAGAACACGATCTGAGAAAAAGACTAGAGGCTATTTACCTGAGGATCGGTCATCTTAGCCTCATCACTATATCGAAATACTGCTAAGCATTTTTAGTTTATAGGTACGGTTTCGAGACTACCAATAAATCATATATATCAAATATAGCTGCTAGCTATCACATTATATCATCATTTTGCCTCTTCGTTACTTTCATACTAGTCAGTAATATATTTACTCTTTTCACTTTTTTTACCAGGTTTTATCTAGTATAGACGACTTGTTTGAATGCGAAGAGCTCAGCGCTGCCGCAGACACAGGCTGGCCCGACTGCTTCAACTCCGGAGTGTTTGTTTTCCGGCCCAGTCTTGACACCTACTCAGGAATCCTTAAGCTGGCCTCGGACGAGGGCAGTTTTGACGGAGGAGACCAGGTAGGAAGCTGTCACAAGCTTCTCGGCTATGAACGAGGAGTAAAAGCTACATTTTGGCACAAAGCTTCTTCTTCAATTGCCATAGTATATATTTGCTTTGATTTGGGGGACTAATAAGAAGGTGAAAGACTCGATTTGGCCTCTGCTAAGTGTAATTCAGTTGCTATGACCCTCGTGAATAAACTTTGATGTGGTGACTTTACCTCTTGCGAACATATCCGATGAAGGGCTTCATAGGATACGTTCCTCATCAGACGATGATCGAGTACTGTCGCTCTACATTCGTTCAACTCGATTCTGGACCCCACCTGATGCAGTCCTCCTTTGATTCGGGGGTATGTTATATGGAGCGCGTCGATCTGAATGCAATAGTCCAATAAGACAACTGCAGAGTAATGGGATTCCGTAGTTGTACTCCGATGAGGTCGATCTACAAATGTTTTTAGTAAGACACGTTCACGCAACATGCAAGTTTCCTAAGCTACGTTACGTATTCTGAAAAGCTGCAGTTGAAAGTTTGCTCAAAAAACTCGCAATCATACGAAATGCCTAAAGTGGCCTATTCATTTTTCCCTTCTTTCCATCATAGCCCTAATGATGGAGGTTGATCTCCCGCAAATGAATAGATTTTCATTTATCCCCTAAACCCTTGGCTTGTCTTGCCATCTCGGGCGCCAATGCAGCGACTCAGTGGTTCTTGGGACGCTTCATCACTCGAATAAACTTTTAATTACAATTTTAATCAGATCAGTGCGCCTCCCTCAGCGAGTCCAGTCGTTTTCGCTTTCCAAGTCTAAGCTCAAATTGGGGCTCATTTGGCTATAGATTTGAAGAGTTCGCCAGCAATCTTTACTGTCCTCGAAACCGCAATCTGACAAGTACCATCACGCCAATGCTGACGATAATCAATGATACACGAGTGAAATCGTTTTCGTAAAGTGCAGCATAAATGAAGATTACTTGAAATCAAAGAGCTAGAATCCGTCTGAGCTTAAAAGAGCCAAGGGAAACTTCTAGTCTGCGCATTTGCATATACTTGTATGCGAGTATACAAGGGTACATGCTTTGTTCACATGCTGATTTTTGTGG